TCTTTCTCGGTTATTGTAAGCTTACGAACACGACATTCATACATTTCAACCACATTACCTTCCCCAGCAAATTTCACACACAACCTGCAACGTAGTCTTCTTCAAGATTCATCAAATGTTTGTATGGTGTCAACAACACGGTAAATGGATGTAACGAATATCTTGAATAGATCATCTCCAACCTCATTGGTTGTTTTCAAGGTCACCTGTAGCTAACGTTTAGTTCTACTCCTGTAAATACTGACGAAGTTGAATGACCGAAGGTTACATTAAGACTAATCAAAAGATGAATTGAAGTGTTATCAGTTGCAGAACCAATTTTTGTGGAAGATACCAAACAGTTAGGTAGGCAAAGTCATGGTAGAATCTTGCACAGAAGTACATGAACTAAACCTGACACTTCACAGGAGCATGCGAAAATAAGTGGATACAACAACAGTGATATCCCAGTAGACTGAAGTACATAGAAGGAATTTAAAAAGTAGGTTTGATCGAAACATTCAAGTTGTAGAACGCATCACAGACTGAATACATCTGTGCCACTGCGACTGATTTCTAACCATTACGCCGAGGGTCTCCAATGACTGATTCCTGTTATTTTGGGGACCCCCAGTCAGGTGCACTACATCTCCGTAAATAGATGAGACCGAAACTAAAAACTTCTTGAACTAGATTGATCTCGAAAAACGAGTTTGTTCAGAGTGTCTGATGGTACATCACCTTTATATGTCAGATTCTTGAGCAAAATCCTTTTAGCAAGTGAGTTGATGACTGGTTTCGCATGTCTTCTTTGTATACATTTACCAACAACTCCTATCTCGACAGAGTGAGGAGAAGGTGAAATCACAAGTCAGCTGATCTCTCTCTCCATCTCATTGAAATTAGTAATTTGAGTCCTGACCACCGAAATGTTCGTTCTTATATCTGTGAAATGGATTGGAGTGAACATTGACAGTCAAACTGAAATATTACTAATGTCATACATAACATAGGAAGCATAAAATTCAAAGTACTTTTCAACATTTCTATCTCAAACACTTTCAAAGTTTCCCCTCCTACACCACCACTCATTTTGTGAAACGGCTTTGGTTGGTGAAAATCAAAATTTCTAGTGATGAAGAAGGCATCAACATCCATCGAATAATCATCAAGGGCACTCTAGCTAGATGCTATTCATCCTGGTAATTGGCTAATCAATGCCAAGTCAGGGAGTTATAACGTGATGTATAATATCAGATTTGTAGGCGAATATCTGCAAATTTCGAGAGTAATTAAGGTAATAGATCTGTGAAGAATAACTGAGGACCTCTCTCTGACTGATGACAGTCATGTAGTCTGTGTGTACAGTTATCGAATAATATAATTCTCATCAAACCCAAGATCAGATGTGAAGCCAAGAGTGAGTGGATAATGTGAAGTCTCAAAGCTCAATTAGCTCAAAAGCAGTGGGATGGTTAGCTGAAGGAGGTTGACAATGCTTGAGTAATTGTGTATGTGGCGAATTATGATGTCAGATCACTAAATGTGAAGACGACTAGGGTGTCGGAGGCATTCACCTGAAAATAAGTCAGACGTGAGATTCTGATGAATATACTTTTAATCATTCGATTGTGGATTCAAACAATCAAATCCCATTTCATAGTGTCAAGGTTATATGTGAAGTAAATTTCGATTACATTTGCTTTGTTGATGGCTAGCAGTAGACTTCCGAACGTGCTTTTATTTCTACATGCGATGCAGGTACAACACAGTGAGTGAAGATGATCAGAGTGGGATGTGAACCGGCAGTCATAGTGTCAAATGTTGGAAAGTTATCCGCTAAGTTGCTGAGTCGAAAGATTGACCCACTGTCCAACGCCTATCAGTGATTGAAATTTCCCGTTGTTCATTAAACCCACTGCACAACAGGTGACTAGTAAATTACGTTCTCTACAGGAGCATCACCAATCACTATGATCTAGGTCCATCCAACTGACGAGTCCTAAATACGACGTAACCAATGTTTAATACTAGCCCCTAACAAGCAAATCTTCAGGCAATATCTAGACGTCTGTCTGGAGGCTCCAATGCCAACACAGACCGATGAATTCGTTCCAGTATAATCATCAATAACTAGTTGCAAGTATCAAGAAATAAAACCTATTTATTTTGATGCCCTCAACGAGTTTGGTAAATAATAATGAATTGAAACCTCGTTCGTGTGAAAATTAGACTTCATATTACTTTTCTTATGTGAATGATTCACCGAATTTAATCACATCAAAATATCCTATTTCTAATCTGGTTTCCGGTTAGTCTAGAAGGTATATAAAAAGTGAGCAGTTACCAAGAAAAACATTAGTTTTGGGGGTGTACAGAGGAGGGAGTGGGAAGGCCAGAAACAAATGTGATTAGATATATATTTATGTAGACAAGAGTTTGATGACTACTCACTCTGAGATGTCTAGCAGCATATATGCGGTAGGAGTGCCCCTCCCCCCTTCAACTGATATTCGCCTTTATATTATTTTCAATGGTAACCTGGTCGTTTCGTGTTTTCGAGTAGAATGTGGTTCTCTGACAAATATTCACATGAATCACTTTCACCTGTTCCTTATGTGCTCCTTCCACCCAGATCAACAGTCCAACTTGCGACAGCTCAGTACAGTACATCAACGACAAAGGCAGTGAGGCGCAAGATGAAGATAAGGGAATACAGTCAAAAGAAATACAGAGTACTAAAAGAGAGAAACGAAAAATGAGAAAGTGGTGAGATTCAGTATAGCGTCGTTAAGATGAGGATAATGTATGCATACATCTGCGCCATTGACATCGGCTCTGAGCCATAACACCTAGAGTCTCCAACCTCTGGTTCCTTTTGTCCCGAACCACCTAGTCTGCACGTGTTCCTTCAGATTGGTCAGTTTTCTTGATTAGAAGAGGTGCTAATTCTCACGATATTGTTGGCATAAGAAAGTGTTCATTTTAAGTTCACTCTCCTAAACTGGTTAGTTTCAACATTTCAGACATGGTTGACATCTGCGCCCACTTCTGTCCCAGTCGTCTTGAAATACTAGCTTTAGTGGTTCGATCATATGTTATGCATGTCGTCCTAGAGGCTCATATATCGCTTTCCCTGAATCCGGTTAGACAGTAGCCAGTGTATAAAGTGGCATAATGTGATGAAGGATAGTTGTCAGGTTAGCTTGTGTTAGTGCCTTACAAACCTCTAAGTGGTTACGCAACTGTGTTTTCAGACAATAGGGAACCTGTCATAGAATCAAAACCAGTGGTAACCATACTGCATCTTTTTTACTTGTTTTATTATTGATAAGTAAAATGAAAGTATTAAGTGCTTGTTTGTGTCTATCTTTAAGACTGCTTCTCTCAAAACTCACTTCTGTTCTTGTCTCTATTCTCTCTTCAGCTTCTGTATATTCAAAATATTATATCTTTTCAAGGGTGTGCGTCTTGGTACTGAACGTTTACTAGCTTTGTGCTTCTATAAACAATAGGGTAATTAGAAGAAAAAGGTTTTCCTGATAAATCTGTCCTAGCGCTAAACCTAACCTGTTAATTTTTACCAAGGTCGGTTTCAAAATTTATTATTCCTGCTTTATTAACTTACTTTCCTTAATGGAACTCAGGAACATCAGGTCTCGCGACGAACGCCTTAACGTTGAAAAACACAAACCACATGCTCCCTGATGAATAATCCGAAGATGTGACCAGTGTTGTCAAGCAAGAAGGAAGGGAAGCGAATGCCAACTGAAGACGTTGGACTTGCTACATCGCGATTTGACAGTGACTGACTGATAAAATCAACCCAGAACCATGGGCACAAGTACATCGGCTCAAATTGGCACAGTGGTTCACAAATGACAGATGGATAGAAAGGGAATGATATCAAAGTTGTATGGGAAAACTAACAATCCGGCGAGATAATGGTTAGTGTGAATATCCAGGCTTTAGAATATGTCAAGTAGTGAATACACATAGCCATTGTGACCAATTTTCAGCCATGTCACCAAGTCCTCAAAGAATGATTCCTATCGTCTAACCACCCCAACCTAGTAACCTACATCACCTCACACTGCTTAGACTGACAGTTAGGAAACTTCAACGATTGGTACCACATCTTGGTCTCGGCACCTTGAACCCTCTACTAACCTAATCTAACTCCCTCCAACATTGGACGTCGAGGTAGGTGGTTTCTCCACAGATGTTCAAGTCACTTCAGACGATGAAGGCTCCTAACATCATCAATCAACTTCGCCGTTTCCTATCATCCTGAGCCTAACCAAACAACAGGAGTGCTACGAAAACAGATCGGAAACCTGTAACCGCTTTTAACGGCCATGTCTCAGCCATACGACAGAACAGAACGGACTGCAGCGCAGTATGCTCGTCCTTTAGTAGATAGTCCGATATTTTGCCAGTCGGCGTTACTAGTTAGGGACCTATCGGATGGTGAAAATATTATCGATGCGTCCTCGTCCAGATTTGAAACCTGCTTGGTTATATCGAGCTCCAATTTGGCGTCGGACAGCTATGGATTCTAAGGTTTTGGACACAATATTAGTGAAAATGAGTCCTGTGTTTTTGTCCCTAGAAGACCTTACCTTACTTAGAGGCTGGAACGATCAGTGAAGTAAACCAGTCTGACGCCACTACCTCTGAGTCCCAAACACTACCTGGTATCTACGTTACTCTTATCAGCGATCTCCTACCTCCATCCTTAAAAACTTTTTATGGTAACATTCATGTCCAGCTGCTTTGCAGACTTTCTGGTTTGAAATAGCCGTTCATCGTGGTGATGGGTCTCATACACCACCGACTTCTTCTTACTTGTATCCTCAGTAATCTTAAGTAATCGCTGAGTGTTACCTAATACTGATGCCTTTTTCATCTCTCTCGCTTTTGTCACCCACCACAGCTTGCTAGATTACTGCGAAGAATTCTAGCCAAGTAAGTTGTTGAGGTGAATTTACACACAAGAGATTAACTCATCAGAATACAAAAGGCTAAGGGTATGATTTTATTCACAAAATGAAATCAATAGGCAGAGAACACACACACTAACATCAAATTAAAATGAAGATGAAAAAGAACCGAATTGTGATAAACAACAATAAGGTGTGAACAAGCTGGCAAACAGAGAAAAGCTTGATGCCAATGAATACACACAAGTTAGATAGTGGACAATATAATTAGTGAGTGAAGTATATGTATAACTACCCAAAATAAACAAACAAAGAAAAACTACAAGAACAGGTACATAACAGGAGAGATGAAAAATTTCAGCATATATGAATCCTATCTCATCTCACCAGTGGTAAAAAAAAAAAAGAACAAGAGGGATTGAGATGAACCGATATGGACACATAATTTTTTAGGAATGATATTCCAAGTTTTTATTCCTTCCGTGAACGACGTTTCCTAACCGACTGTTTTTCAGTTGAAGCCCCCTGGCACCATACAACAACGAGAACAACATAAAATTATGTAAAGAAATCAACAATAATCAGATATGTTTTTAAAATGGATGAATGGGGATTTTATTAATTTACAAGTAGTATTCATCATGGACTGACATCAGTTGGGGAACCATTGAAAATCTGGGAGGACTGGACAGCTGTTTCCTAGTAGTATGGGACTCCTCAGCAGTACGACCCAGTGGTTGAATGGTTAACGCGTTCACCATGAAACCTGAAGGTCCTGAGTTCGATCCCTAGCCGGGTCATGGGTGCGTACTGCTGAGGAGTCTCATACTAGGAGGAAACAGTTACCGTTCAGTGCTCCCAGATTTTCAGTGGTTCCCCAACTGATGTCAGTCCATGATACATACTACTTCTAAATAATCAGATATATTCACTCCACCTACAGCTTAAAGATAGAAATCTGTATTTTTATGCATCAGTATGTCTTCAGTCAGACTGGTGATTTTGAAGGGAATCCAGTAGGATAATCGTGTAGTTGTACTAGGTGCCCTCCCCCACCACACCAGTCGTCTATGCATCTTCATATTTGAAAATTGATGAATTCTAGTAACTATCTATGAGCTCAGTGGGTAGAACTTGGCAACACTGTGCATGCTCAAGCATTGAGCAATGAGTCATATATTTTATTATAACGACTAGTCACACTACACGTCTACTTACATCTCAAGTTTGATAGGCTTCGAATCGATGACTTACAAACTAAAGTAAATAGCTGAAGTCAACCTTTAAATATTACTATCATTTGGAGGTTATTCTTAGAAAGTTTTGAATGGATACATAAACAATACTGACCTTAGTTTCTGTAGCACCATCAGTAGCTTCCTCAGCAGAATCTGCATCCAGATCACCTTTACTGCTACTACCAGTTTTATTAGCATCGGATTCATCACCGGAACCTTTAGAAACTTGAACAATATCATCTTCACCAGACTCTTCTAATTCTTCAATTTCTGCATCTTTTTCATCATCTTTTTGATGAAAATCATCTGGTATAGGCAAATCAGTTTTCTTGTGTACACCTACATCATACTTAGATGGTGACCGACAGAAGTAGATACAACAAAGTAGAATTGGTAATGTACAGACAAGGCCAATTACAAAGATTAACCAAGGCTTTTCATTATACGTTTCTCGTATAGCATCTACAACACTTTGCTACACAAGAGAAAAAGAAAATAATCATGAAGTATAAAATGAAATGAACAATATTACAGGAAATTTCATCTAAGTGAAAAGCTTGTGTGTTGAGATTTATGCAATATGAACTGAAATCAAAATTAACATCTTAATCATAAAACGATAATATATTGATCTTGATAACTAGAAAAGGAAATTCAGGACGCGCATTTCGTCCTATTTGGGACTCGTCAGCTGGATTGACCTGCACTCTAGTGAGTAATATTCTTCCCACTGAGGCTCAAGCCTAGTACCCATCGCTTCAAACGCCAGAGCGTTATCATCCACTAGGCTATTGGGGGACGATAGTTGGAGCAACATCACTCCGCATTGGGGTGCAGGCATTTCCAACTGATGAGCCTCAACCATGACGTAACACGAGTCCTGGAGCCATCCTACTAGTCATCTGCTCATCTGCCAACAAAGATCGAACAATTCGGCCCTGTTTAGCAACGGGAAATTACAATTATCATAATATAATAGGAGATTATTATCACAATAAATATTAGGCATACACTTCTGGGGAAGAGAAATATATACACACACACCATAGGGGGGTGTCCTGTTCAAGGGTCTGTATCAAGACAGATGCTTCATAGTAAAGTGAGCGAGAATAGCTGAAAGGAAAGTCTGCTTAATCTGGGCATTTTACTTGTCAACTACTCATCAGCTGTGTAGATATACATGTCAGCACTGAGCTTCTTGGGTCACCATTCAGCTTATTTGGGACTGAACTGAATGAAATAATCGATCCGAGAGTAAATAATGATACACTTCATGGTTTTATAAGTCCATCGCATCCGCTCTTGGTTATATTTATAGTTTTGTTTTTCTGTTCACAAGTTCGGCTCCAGAGTATGTACCTTGTCTCTTTAGCTCAGATAACTATCTTGGATGTCAAACTTATGGAAAATTGCAGTCTTATGAATGACTCGTCAACAAACAACTGCCAATAGTCATCTCATTCTCATGGGTGCCAAACAGATCTATCGTCTATCATTCTCTACAATCAATCCCTACCACTACTTTACAAGTCATTCACTTATCATGCAATTGTAGGTGATCTGAACTAATTCGCTTTTATCAGCAGAATTTGTTTCGGTGCATAGCTGATGGGCTAGGCCCTAGATGAACGGAACGGCCATCTGGCCCTTACATCACTCTGATCTGACTGGTTGGCGAAATCTACAGACTAGACTGAGTGATTTCTAACCACTTAAGTTGTTCAGGAGTAGTAATAATAGTAGTAGTAGTATACTGTGACCAATTAGTAGTTTAGGCTGTCGACTTTTCAAGCAATGAATATCAGGTTATTCAAACCCCACCACATACACACCAACATTTGAGCAACTCATACAATATGTGTATCTCAGTGCCTAATAAACAAATGTGTACGTGGTTGCTGAGTGCATTTCAATTTTTCATTCTGTCGACATCTGAATTAAGACTTTCGAATGATTTCGACTGCGTAATTAGGAGACGAAGATTATCTGAACAATATGCGATGAATTAGAGCAATACAATCTGATCACACATTTACTTGTCACAAGGCGTATTTATATATGAAAACGAAGGGAAAAATAAAAGGTCACATATGATGAGATTGAAAAGATTGTGACACTAGTCTTGGTAATATAATCACATAAGAATGATCAAGGTAAGTGACCACCAGTCTATATAAAGCCTACTTCAACAGGATAGTACTTGAGTTTCTACAGATTTTGTCCTATGAAATATAACACAGGATTAGTAAAATGCTGATTCAATAGGATCCAACCTATTTGTACATAGGATACAATGGATGATGAGAGGAAATTCTTGACAGACAAGTTTAGGGAAAACAGACATTCATTACAATTTGTGAACTACTGTGGAAAACAGCTAACACCAACGCTTATAATTTCCTTGGTCCCGAAGAAGGATATATTGCTTAAAGTACCATAAACAGGGGAAACAAACAGCTCAGCTAATCATTGTTGAGATAACAAAACACCTGCTTCGCTACAAACCTCAACCTTGCACAAATGATTATGTCACATGTCCACTGTGTTTACCAATTTACATGTATGTCTAGGCCTACATACATAGAGAGGAGTAATCGTGCTGAGCAGACTACGGTGGATCAACACATACCTAAATGGCTTGTAAGCAATCCAACACACAAACATTGATAAGTGCAGATGACAGACATCCATCGTCATCTACAGCAAAACATGTCACTGAAATGAATCATAAGGTGAATAGGGAAACAGCATTCAAAATACAGGCAGGGGCGCATACTGAAAATCGCTGAAGCGTTAACCATTCGTTAACTTAAGCCTCAGTTGTGTGTTCAAAAACGATTTGTTGTCTCACTTGCATTACCTTGGTAATCCTTATCTGATTATATTACCTAGACTAGTGTCACAACTTTTTCATTTCCATTATATTTCACCTTTCATTTTCGTATATTCATTGACTTGTGACTAGTAAATGTGTACGGCATTAGATTGTTCGAAATATATTGCGCAAATACATCACATTGGCTACATCGCCCTAATTTGGCATAGCGTTTAATTGCAGTTTTAGCCATGACCTTAAAATAACCCATATGACTGTTTTCATACCCTTACTAGTTTTCCTTCCCTCTGCTTCTAACGCTGAACTCTCATTGATTGCTAAATATATGTGGATTTATTATTTCCAAGGTCATTTAGAAGTGTATATATTCAACATCGCTGTCAACCTGGTTGACTGCTAGTGTTATTGCTTGTAATACATCGTTGTTGACTGAACCGAATCGATCAGTCTCTGTTGGCATATGAGCACCTGTGCGGATGCCTCGATATTGCTTGTGTTTTAATTATGTATAGTAATGATGGGCAGTGAAATCCAGAATGAGCACTTCGTCCTATTTGGGATTCGTCAACTGGATGTAACTGCCTCCCAGCGAGTGATGTTGTTCCCACATGGACACGGACTTGGGAGCGATCGCTTCAAACGCGAGAGCGTCATCTACTACACCACCGAGCCACGATAGACACTACAACGGGTATGGTTTCAGTGCTATTGCTTGTTGACTGTTGCTAAGACAGTGAAAGCTCTGTCAACGGTCAGTCTTTCCTTCTTGTATCTGTACGTATGTGTCATTATTGTTGTTATTGTGGTGGTGGTTGCCGTTCTCATTCGCACGTTAGGTTTATATCGTTCGTAGGCTCTTAGGTCGTACTACTGGTCATAGCGACATTTTTTAGACCATCTTCGTAGTCTAATAGCGTTATCGAAATTTACTACTTAAGGGAATACTTGTTTCAAATTCGAGTGATTATCTAGTCAAAATGCAAGCACTATATGGAAATAGCATAGAAGACGAGTTTTCCGTGAGCATGGCAACAAAAGATTTCTCCAGTCGGTATTCATCATGGACTGACATCAGTTGGAACCTGAAGGTTGCAGGTTCGACCCTTGGCGGGTCGTGGGTGCGCGCTGCTGAAGAGGCCCACATACTAGGACGAAACAGCTGTTCAGTGCTTCTAGATTTCCAATATTTCTCCAATTGATGTCAGTGCATGATGAATACCAACTTGAGAAAAATCAATAAATCCCGACAAACCCCTAAATTCACAACAAAAAATGATGGTTGAAATCACGTCTATGGTGTAACTAGCATAATAGACAAATGACAAGCTAAAAATGCCCACCAATGACGAAATGTCTCCATAACAATTCTTTAAAAAAGGGACAGGTAAGCTCAATATAGGTAATCAGTTATGTCAAACAACACTAGAACAAATTCTTCGTGATAAATCAACCACAATGTTAGTTAGGTATTATTATTTTCAAAATTTTAACAACACAACTTTGGATATTGGGAAATATTATAATTATTTTAAAGAAAAAAAAGACTTACAGCTCTAGGATCAGACAGTCGTTCAGCTTCCTTTTTATCAGCCCATGTCTCTTTGGCAAAATCATCAGCTGCACGCTTTGAGTCTACAATCAGGAAGTTGTCAAAAGCGATTTCATCGGTCATAGACCATAATTCTAAGCCGACTGCACTCTGAAAAAGGAGTTGGACGTAAAGTTATAACAAAGAGGAATGTTGAGAATATGTTAACAGTTCATAACATTTTCTGGTATTAGTATTCAGTGAAAATACTTTCCTACTTTGCATATTACCCCTCTCCTCCAAATAGCTTTGACAAGAACTTAATTGGCCGAGAATATAAGGATGCTGGAGATAATTGAGGTAATATAAAAACTGAGCGAAAAACAAGTCGATGACAGATAGATAATGAAAGAACGAAAGAGAACCTTGTAAACGCAGTATGCTGACTCAATTTGTTGTGGCTTGGCAAGAACATAAACAGGAAATCAATAAACGCAGAATGATATAGATCACAGAACATGTATATATGCCAAATACCAATTGCATTAGCATTTATGTAGTGGGCCGTGCTCCACGCAACAATGAGTCTCGGGGAACATTAGGATATCTGTCGCCGAAAATCTGTAACGCTGTGCCAGTCCCGACCGCTAGCTGCGACCTTGACGTGGTGGTCGGGTTCGCATATCACAATGACCCAACGAGCTACGCTGGTAAAACGCTTGTTCCTTCGAGGTCATACCGTACTAGGAAAGGTCTGTTGGATAGTGGTCAGGCGAAAAGCAGTTACCGTTGTGGTGTAAATTACTACACTAAGATGAGGGTCTGAGGGCGAAGTCGTACTGCTGCTAGCTGGATGGGGTGTAACAGCAGTAAGGCTTTTCCTTTGAGATGACTAGCAGTGCGATGCTATGCTGATGCTGCCTTCTTAGTGGAAGGGGGGGGGGGTTAAAAAAGGTCGGCCGGAAAAATAACACTCTACCATGTCCAACGGTCTGTCAGGCCGGCGGTGTTGGTTCGTTTGTCGTTTCTTTTTGACTATCCGGCCCTTAAAATACAAAAGTTCAAAATATTCATCATTCAATCACTGTCAACTGGTATCCTTCGGCACAAAATAGTAGAATAACACAATTAGATACTACAGATGATTAGAGTTGGTAACTGTTAAACGAGCATTTTGAATCCCTTTATCAGATTTGGTGCAACCTTCCAAACAAGTAGTCAATAATTTTACTTAAAATCGTTAAGATATACCAAAATTAGGTTACACTTAAACCCGGATAAATGTAAACGTGAATATGTTCTCTGTTTGTACTGTTATCATTATCATTTTATATTTTGCCCTTAGTTTTATAATTGATTAAAAAATTTAACATAATATTATCTAGTCGTAATGTGACAACAATTTTATTTCCCTCTATCCCTGCACACACACACACACACACACACACACACACACACACACACACACACACACACACACAGAATATGTAAACTGCCCCAGATTTTGTTTTCTAATTATCACCTTCACTGTCATCTTCTAATTAATTTAACCATGTTGATATCAAATGTGGACTATGCTGAATAATCTTGTAAATGTAAATGTGAAGCTGTAGGTAGGAGAGACCTGACGACATTGTATCAAATAACCAGGTTACTATCTGCTAAGGAAGATAGCAACACAGATGAAACCAATAAAAGATGATGAAGGAAATCTAATTACCGCCGAAGAGGAGAAACAAAGGAAACGGTGACCACTTCAAAAAACTCTTGAATCGACCACCACCTGCAGCCCAGCCCCAGAACTACCAGTGAACACAAGCCCTCCGACAAAAGCAGAAGTCCTGAATGCCATCAACTTCCTGAAATCCGGCAAAGCGGCAGGACAAGATAGAATCCCGTCAGAACCACTGAAAACACAAGCAGAGACAACAGCGGGCATGCTCACACCACACCACTAATGCAGAAGGTCTGGAAGGGGGGAAGGTACTTGCAGATTAGAAGAAGGGTTACCTTGTCTAACTCCCAAAAAAGGGAGACCTAAGTCTTTGCAAAAACTGGCGAGGAATCACTCTCCTGTGCACCCAAAGCAAAATATTATTGCACATCATTCTGAAGACTGAAGGATGCGCTGGATTCAAAACTACGACTAGTACAGGCTGCCTTCAGGAAGTACAAATCATGTGCGGATCAAATTGCAACGCTACGCTACACATCATCATACAACAGAGTATAGAATGGCAGTCAACTCTCTCTCTACATCAACTTCATTGACTTTCAAAAGGACTTCGACACCGTCGACCGACAAGTAATTTATCAGGCAGTTGCATCAACACTACGGTTTTAGTGTCACAAACCGTTATCAACCTCATTCAACAATTATATGAAGACGCCATATGCCAAGTAATTCACAATGGAAAGCTCAGTGATGCTTTTGAAGTGAACACAGGAGTAAGACAAGGCTGCCGCCTGGTATCGCTGATGATCTTCCTGATTGTGGTCGACTGGATCATGCAACAAACAGTGAGGAGCGAGAAGAAGGGGATACGCTGGACCACGGAAAAGATCCTAGAAGATTTCGATCTCCCCGATGATAATTTGTGTCTAGTGTCACACAAACTTGAAGAACTACAAGCAAAAACCAACAAGTTGACAGAAGAGGCAGCGAAGACGGAACTTCAAGTGAACATAGAGAAGACAGGGGGTGATGAAGATACCCAACCAACACCAACACCAACAACAACAAGCCCCAATCACCATCAAAAGGAGAAGCTTAAAGAAAGTAGCCACTTTCACCTACACCTATCTAGGCAGCACTGTTTCAACTACAGGTGGCACAGGCACAGACGAGGATGTCAAAGCCAACCAGAATCAGAAACACAGTAAGACAGGCGTTCATTAACCTGAAACCAGTGTGGAGATCTTCAGCATTAAGCGTGAACAACATCCGGATTCTCAACACCAATGTCAGTCAAGTCAGTGCCTCTATGTGATGGTTGAGGGACTTGGCACGTTACGAAAAGCACTTCCAACAAACTACAGATATTCATCAACAACTGCTGCCTACGCTGGCTCGTTACTGAAGCTCGGCTCAGCTCAGATGGCCAGAATGGTAAGAATAAGCAGGAAGGAACTCTGGCTGGCTGTCTGGCAACGACCCAACGAAGCAAGAACTATCACCCAACAAATATGCACTGGAAGAAAGTGGAGATGGATTGGGCATACACTGTGGAGGCTGACTGGGGACATCACGTGACAGGCCAGTTGCTCGAGTGGAACCCAGATGGGAAGCGATGAGTTGGGCGTCCGAGGCGAGGGTGACATGGAGGAGATGGTGTGAGGAAGAAATGAGAGCTTGTGGGCTGTCGTGGAGCGAGATTGAAAAGATTGCAGCGAACAAAGTGCAGTGGAGACGCACTACTGAAGCCCTATGTTCCACTAGGAACCCAAGGGACAAATAATAATAATAATAATAAGTGTAAAGCCTGACGAGAATTTACCGAAAAGACGTATTCGCTATAATCTCTGTGTTTCAATTATCGGAATGAAATATTTAAATACAGATTTTGTTTACCTACTTAAAAACCTGAAACCTATAGGATGAAGAATTTTAAGTAGCATGTTTCTCTTGTGTTAATATTCAGGCATGAGCACTCATTCGATATGGAGACTATCAAGTGAATGCCACTGACGTTAGGTTCATCACCTTAGGCAAAGAAACTAGGCCATTTAGTGAGGCTTTAAACCTGAGTTAAGACAGTTAAGTTGTTTCACATACTGCAGGTCATAATTCATATAACTCAAAATCCTGAACAATACGTCACACTTCTTTTATTGCTATCTTTCTCATTCGTCTTTCTGAATGCATTTCCCTTCCTTTTGTTTGCGCAAAGTCTAGTAAAGTGAATGTGTGCACTTTTGATCAGACTTTACGTTAATTCAGTCGCTTCAGATATAAATCGTAGAGATAGCTGGATAATATTAATAGTGGAACTGGCATCATTGTTAAACGGTTTAAGGAGCCATAACGCCTCAACACATCAAGCGAGTACGCTAAATATGAATACGAAATAATTTTGTGGTTCAAGTTTTTTTTTTCAATCATAGATATAAATTCATACGTTTGGGTTTGGAGGTAGAGCTATTTTTAAAACCCACAAACCATAAGGAAGGTGGCATCAACATAGCACCGGTGGTCAGTCGCCCCCAAACACCTTACCGTCCAGTCAACATCACGACTTCACCCTTGGGGCTCGATCATAGTGTAGCAAACTACACTGTAACGGCAACTGCTTTTTGTCTTACAACTATCCAAGTAACCTTTCCCGTATATGTGGGCAAGTGCTCCACCATCACTGCTCCCTGTGACATGCAAGTACCAGCACCACATCAATGTGGCAGCCATCGGTTCACACAGACCACAGGAAGGCGAAAACCACTGTAAGACTTCGGTATTGAATATGGAAAGACAGGTAAGCGGGCAATCGCTGCATTCACTGTGCTAGTTCACAGAATATATACTTGATTTCGTGACATCGCTTTCAAAATTGGTCCCAGTTTTCAACGTGATTTTTTAGCATCCACATGAAAACCTTAGTGTTTTTATGAGGTCTATCGTCTTTTCGACAATCGAGCAGTAGATTCTTGTATGGAATTTAATAACTGACTGATAAAATCAACGTAGAACCTCAGACACAGACTGATCGGCTCGAGTTGCCACACATTACAGTAGTACACAAAGATCAGGTGGAGTAGAGTAGATAAAGTATTGTCCACCACTGCATTTTATAGTGTAAATACGTTAAATTCATGCTACTGACCTTGTCAAGTGAGTTCTCATACAAACCAACAGAGTCACAGTTTCAACGCTTTCAGCCGTCAGGCGACTACGTGATACTCCATGCAACATAGAATGAGCCACCGCCATTGTGTGAGGGCGAGTACCACCCCACCCCACCCCCTACACTGCCCAAATCTCGATAGATGGTGTGAAGTTTGAGTTGGTGACGTACTGCTTGAAGATCAATTGCCCAGACAAGTGAACCACAGTCTAACATTTTTAGCCCTAAACTATCGTAATCGGTACTCAAGGCGTGCATGCAGTTGGCAGTAACCACCAAGCCAGTATATATCTTGACTTCTCACTGCAATATATTTCGTGATAACACAATCACAAAAGTATATTTAGCAGAAATCGCTGTGTAACTAGTCTCGAAAGAACTGATCTAGTTCAGAAGAGGACTAAGGACCCGTCTCAAAGCCAGGTCTATGTGTGTACATTGGAGAGTATGACAAAACGATAGATAATGACTTCATAATGTATATATATTTTAATCGAACACTTGACCTACCACTTCCATTAAACCCTTGTAAGGATTCTTTTCCTCGAAGTAATTAGGGTTTGGAATTTTCCTCGGGGTCCAGATACCCTTATAAGCTGGGTTAGGGATCATTGGAGCAGACCATTTCCCCTTATATTTTGGGTTCGGTATAACTGGTCGCTGCCATTCACCACATCCAGGTGCATTAGCGCACTTTGGGTTACTGATTTTTGGTGCAATCCATTCACCATCCATTTCAGGATCCCTGAAAACAATAAATAGGCAATGAAGACAGGATAGCAAAATATAAAACACTTGTTTTCTCAGTAAAATGGACAATAAACAAATTCTGCAATTGAAATCTCTGTCCATAGAGTAATCAATCTATTCCATGGGAACAGTAATTTACACCATAAATGCTTTTTAAGCCACTAAACATTTCCGAAGTATGGAGAAATAGGTTGTCAATAAATGACATCCATACATCATGCCAACTCATTGATAAAGAATCGAGTGTACGCATATCTCAAACCTTGAGAGAACTTCAGTCGAGCTACACAACAAGCTATAGGTCTGTGTAACAGGTTATGGGATACGTCTTGGTAACACGAAGGCAAATAAAGCTACCTGAACACTGATTGATGAAAAGATTCACGCCTATGACTCTCTAGTGTTCAGATGGATGAGCGAGAACTCTACGAAAACAACTGGAGTAGAGCATGCTAGTAAATGTCTGACGCTCTTATATACGTCTCTAATCACTAGGCAACAATGAAGAATGAAGAAGTGTGAACAAGTTGCTGCATTTCCCAACAGGAGAAAAATAAAGGTATCACGATGAACCTTGGGACGCAATTAAGATGAAAGGGATAGAGATGGTGAATCACTAATACTTTACAACCACTAAAATTATTTAAAGAGCTCATATTCAGCGGGACTATAAAAGCTGAATAATGATATTTTACCTGCAAGGGACTTTCCATTACCGAATAATTGTTAACGCTGTTACATCTCATGTCAGCACATCAAGATGAACGGTGAAAAAATAAAGCTATCAAAAACGGTAGAAAGTCAAAAAGACAGCAGTAAGGAATGCGACACTACTGAAATTCAGCATCACCGTGAAAATAATATGTGGGCAAATATGTGCCAATAAGGTTGACTCAGAGTCATATCCACTAGTCTCTAAGCTTTAATTTTGATCGTTATGTTGACCCTGTTGACAGACAGATAGACAAAATCAACGTAGAACTTCACGAAATATATTAGTTCAAGTTGCCACACTTCACAGTAACATGCAAGAAACAAGCGACACCATTTGGGATGTTAGATATCCAGAAATGAACGCCCTGTCTAAATCTCCTAAATTTACCTCATAGGAAACTTGAATCACCTTTGTCCCCTTCCTCCGTCTTACGTGTACCGTTGGTTTTTACCACTTTTACCGACGCCAAGTTATAAATGGTCAATCTTTCACTTTTAATCTGCACCTCCAAAGGACGATCACACTGTATACAGACGCAAGAGTTGCACTTCTAGATTGATACTTTCTGATGAAAGCTTTCTTTGATTCAATACTGCCTTCTTGCTTCAGCGGTTAATTTGTCTGATAACACATCACTTGGTGGTATCCTAGATCCCACGTTTCTAGTAAACCATAATCCAGAATGGGTTTCGCAAACTTCGGCAGATGAAGATTATCAAGTTGCTCTCTAAAGCAAGACTTACTTCTCCTGTGGCGTCAAACAGAACTCCCAGCATACCTTCTCCATCTCTTAACGGAGTAACATCATGGAATTTCGTCACGATCCAACAGTAAATGTTGCCTCTGATATGTGGTTTGAACAGTATGAAGTGTACTTCAAATACGATTTTGCTGGCTAGGATATGGTATATTTAGCATGAAGATGTGGAAATCGTAGTCACTAGATCCGGAGCAACAACGAATAACCTTGTACACAGAATCTGGACGACATGGTGGTGCTTAGTGAAAGCGATGGTAAGTGTATCACTCTGTTGAAAGTTCGGTACTCGAACACTCAGTGGTGTGTTACACGTTAAGTTGTGTCTATCAGGCATGTCTCCCTTCCCCATTCTTGCTCATAGACGTACTTATAGGTCTCCCTTTCGTTGACCGGCTTGACAGGGATTGGTTTTATCATAGGAGAATCCTTAGTGAAGCTAGAGTACATAGACGACAGTCTCGTTAGGTGAATACGCCTAATAGATGCAGTCTTCTCGACACCTTTAATGGCAATTCAAGAGTATTTGAGATGTGTTTCTCGCCATCCAAATGCGAATAGTTGTCACACAAACAGTTCTGACTGGTGTCTTATTTAAAAATAAGGAAAGATATCACTGAGCGCGTTGACCACAACACTTACTTGAGAAGGTGGATCAACCCTTGTATCCCAACACCGTTACCTACGTAACACTGAGGTTACACGTAGGGTTTCGAGCAGACAAGGAAAGTGAGTTGATGAGGTTGTGAACCTTCAACGACTCTAGATAGCTGAAACATGAGTATGCATGTCTAAAAACCATCTACCCGTCACTCAGTATTAGGTGGAGCGGTTTCAGGATGGAAAGAACTTACATATGACCAAAATAGTACACGGCATCAGTGTATGAAGTCTTTGACCGTTGATCTGAGCCACGTGGTGTAATGGAGACTTCCCGGTTGAAGTTGGCTGGAAAACAGAACCCAATGGTTAGGAACTCTAAGTGAGATGGCTTAAAACCTATCTTAATGGTCCAGATACATCTACAGAGTATCTCCATCTCAACAGTCATTGAATTTCAGTATTATTTCATTCCTCCCAGCTTTTTTCCGACTTTTGAAGCCTTTGACTCCACTGTGTTTCATTTCTTTCTTTCATATTCACGCATTGTTGCTTGCTGTGCTGATATGAACTGTGGCTACTTTGATCGTTACGCGGTAATATCAGGCACTATGTCAACATTGTCTTTCTAACACTGATACATGTGGCAACTAAATTAATAATAGGGTAATTAATTAAAATTACATTAGGTGGTTTGTTACACCTATAGTAGGATTGATGCGTGGACCTCACAATATGAAAACGTATTGGCTGTTTTCACTAGTTCACCGCAGAGAACAAGAACATACACATGCTCGCAAAATTAAGAAAGTAATTAGCACATGAAGTATAAAAATATATAGAGGAATCAACTGTAGTCACTTTCATCCTATTTAGTTACAGTTTATGTAACCGCATCAGTTAGTTTTGATGTACACGTTTCTTTTAAACAATAGCGTTATGTAATGATACTCTATTTAATTGTAGTTATGAATTATTGGCGAATATTACTGCGAAAGAACTAGATGACTGTGTATTACTGCTATTTTAGACCCCTAAGGACAGATAGCTATAAGGGCTTTAGTATACAAATTTTAATATTTGAAGAGAACTTTTGAGAAAATTTATTTTCATTTTACTGAGATAGCCGTAGCTTGACAGACTAGTATTTATACTGAATGATGATGATTGCGGGTGAGATGAAAATCTGGACCGCGACCACAATCCGGCCGCGGTTTCAGTATACCCAGTATGAAATTTATTTTGACAAGCAACTTCACAGTTCATTGAGACATGCCTAAAACTGCAGTGAAACTTGAGCAACTTGTAGAAAACTTAAGTGATACATCGGCAGAAAATGTAGTATAAACAATGTGAAACTGTAATTGATAAATGCTAGCAATTTTGAATTAACCCTTTATTTGAAAAGGTGTAGAATATGTTCACGCCGACGTGATCCATACAATGCTAGTGGCTTTCGTGACCAGAACACGACAGCCAGACAGACAAAATCAACGAACCTCGTCCACAAGTGCATCACTTCAACTTGCTACACATTACAGTGGCACATAAAGAACAAGTCCATCGAAAAAGAGTGATGTCAAAGTTGTGAGAGAATATGAAATCTCAAGATGAAGGTTAGTGCAAACATCTAAACTTCAGGGGGCATCAAAAAGTGAATACATCGCCATTGTGACTGATTACTAGTCATATCACCAAGAGTCCACAACGTCTGATTTCCAGTCTCACAGACTCAAGTCAGGCAGCCCACATTTCAGGAAGCGGCTCGGACCAACAGTCGAGGACTTCATCGACTGGTACCATGCCTTTACCTGGCCACCCTCAATCCTCTTCCATCTTAATCTAAATCCCCCTACCATCGTACAGTGAGGTAGGTGGTAACTCGGTATATGGAACACATGTCCAAACCCCTTCAGACGATGAAAGTTCACAACCTCATCAATAGACTTGTCTGGTGTCCTTCGCCTGACCTCAAAACTGCTCACATGGTGATTCACCCGGACACGGGCAATGCTGCAAGACACCTGTGATCGAAAACCTGTAACCGATTCATGTTTTCTACTTTTAACGTCTCAGCCCCATAACAGAACATGAAAAAATGCAGCGCAGTATACTTGTTCTGTGGCAAACAATCAAGTAACTTACATATCGACGCTGCAGAGGGCGTCAAATGGCAAATACCAAAAGAACCGTCTCTGTTCGAGCTGATATTCCGTGACCGACCAGCCTGTCGCGGTTGATGCGACTCACTGAGTAAGTAAAGTAGTCGACACATTCCGCCAATCCACGTCCTATTATTAAACTGAGTAGTTGCAGACCTGTCCTGCATCATCTTACATTTGACAGGTGTGAACCACATGCCAAAACTACCCAGATTTTTTCTCAACGTCTTCAGAAGACCATGCATTTTGTCAACGTTTTTACCTAGCAGGACAGCATACTCCAAATCAGCGTTGCTGATAGGCGTTGGTTTAACTGACACCAGTTGCTATGACGATAAAAAACGAATTAAATGTGCAAAACCTTTGTAGTTGCAGTGTTTAGCCGCTCTCCAGTTGGAAGTGGTATTCGTTTCACAAAATTTAGCGGTTTAGTACGGAATAGGAGGCAATAAGTCGGATTCCTACATAACTTATTAGTAGTGTACAACAACACGGTGTACCAGATTGCCAAAATATATCCGCATCGTTAATTTTAGTTACAGACAACAAAAGTAGATCTCTTCATGGTCTTATTTTGAAAAGCATAGTGCAGTCCTCTAAGGCAGTTGTTTGGAAATCACTGAGTGTAGTGTGCTGACACAAAAGTGTAACATGTAACATGATTTATCTGTGTAGTTTAAGGAATGAAAAATGTTTGAAGACATGTGGAGATGTGATTCATTGGTTTAGGCGTTCGACTTATAGTGAGAAGGTTCAGATTTGAACCCCGGTCTGCCTGCCAAGATCTGGAGAGTCATTTAGTATCAATGACCTCTCCACGGTAGGTATATCATTTTCTGCTGCATGAAAGCGCACTTGGCTGCGCTCAAATCTCGAATTCAAGACACCACAGTGTCAATGAAACAAAGTCATTGATTGATGTAAACTAGTGACTTGTGAAACCTAGCAGTTGTGATAGCTGACCCAGGAAACACATAACCATTCCACTGGCTATCACATTGTTTTACGTTATCCAAACATCGAAATACCATGAATCTATGGTGTCAAGTATACGAAATAACCAGAAAACTTACAATTTATTGTAACCCCTAGTTAGGATGCACACGATTACCTTCATCTGTGTGTCATAGGACTATTCATATTGTCAAATTTCAACAGAGGATTCAAACTAACCAGAAATAGACACATGACAAGAACTATCAAGTGAGAAACTTTTGATCAGAAGGAAGACTTTAGACCTATGCAGTACTGACTGAAGTTTAAGCAATACAAAATAAATGTAGGTTATTTTATCAACCAAATCCTTACCAGTCTTTTGGAGGTTCTGCTGCAGGATCGGGGATCATCTCTGGCTCATCATCTAACCACCCAGGAGGCTTTGTGGCATTTTCGTCTTCGATAGTCTCCGGAGCATTTTCATCCCAGTCTTCAGGTTTTTTGGCATTAGTATCAACAATTTTTTCTCTTTCATCCCAATCAGCTGGTTTTTTGTCCTCAGGATCATCGATCTCTCTAGGGGGGTTGACTGGAGGTCTAATGTAGTGGAAAAGATTAGTTTATAATTGACCAAATATGAAAGTTCCTGAAATAAATCTGAACTGTTGAATACATAGGTAAACTTCAGTTATGTGGGCGATGCCAAGCATTGCAGTCATCTACTGAGTATCGTCACATTAATAATAGTTTTTTTGAATGATTTAGCGCTTCCCTAGAACCGCTAGTAAGCTGATAGACGATGAACACGAAAGACGAGTTGTGCTGGTGCTTGATTATTCCTTCTAAGATGACGCTATATATTTCAATATTCTTCTGCATTTACGGTAACTTCCGAATTCATGTAACTTGGAACGGGATATTGGATAGATAACAAAGCATAATACTGTTCAAAGCAGCTACATATTCGCTACCTTTTACCAGTCTGTTAGGACGCCAAATATGTAGGCAGACTTAATGCTGGTCAAACAACACCGAAATAGGCAGGATGGTTATGTAGCCACGACTTAACGTCACCGGTCTCCGTTTTCCCAGCAAACATGATGCACCATGATTATGAAGTTCCGTCTGATAACATCTAACAACTACTTATAACAGGAAGTGAATAACTAGACTTTTATGATTTTAGATCATCGGGTCAAGCTAGCCTGAGCCCCAATAACAACCGTTGTACAGATCCACCTATGGCGCCGCCGTGATATTCGTTTGTCTATTAAGGGTCGCGTGTACTGCACAGCAGTCCGCTCTGTTCTATTGTATGGCTGTGAAACATGGCCATTGAAAGTGGAAGACATGAGAAGGTTACAGGTATTTGACCACCGTTGCCTTCGTAGTATAGGACGTATTCCGTGGTGTCACCATGTGAGTAATGCAGAAGTTAGGTGTAGAGTTTTAGGGAGAAGAGGTAAGTCAGTCGACGAGGTTGTGAACCTTCATCGACTGAGATGGTTGGGACACGTACTACGTATGCCTAGTCACCGATTGCCTCGTCACACAATGTTGGCTGAGGTGGGTCCAGGCTGGAAAAAGGCCCGAGGTGGCCAGACTAAAACATGGCACCAATGTATGAAGTCTCTGACTGTTGGTTTAAGCCATGTAGGACGATGCAGACTAGGTGGTTGGGGTCCGCGGGACAAGAGGAACCAGTGGTTGGAGACCCTAGGTGATATGGCTCAGAACCGAAGTCAGTGGCGCAGATGTATACACACATTATCCTCATCTTAACAACGCTATGCCGAATCTCACTATTTTGTCACTCCTCTTTCCTTTCTTCTCATACTTTATATTTCTTTTGACTGCATTAACTTATCTTCATCCTTCACCTCACTACCTTTTTACTTGATGTGCTGATATGAGGTGTGGCAACTCGGACCGTTACGCAGTAATGCCTGGTCCTATGTTGATAATGATGATGATGATGTTGTACAGATAGTGTTAAGAAAATAAGACAAATTAAGACGCTTATTAATGATCCTAGTTAAAACCTTTGAAGAGGTTATCGTTACAGAGGTTCTGAAAATCATTAGCTATGAGTGGTACCCAGCACACAATGTTGATTACGCGAAACCATTGCCGATTGACTAGGCATTAAAGTACTATCAGTATCATATTTTGCGATCTGACTTATAGACCAGTCTTTCATGTACTTCAAGAAAATTTATTAATTTGTCGACATGAACACAAGAAACAAAGCTTATGGGGTATACATGCCTTGATGTAGCTATGGCTCACCAGTAAAGAGCGCTGAGTTTCAAATAGCGAGTCATGGGATCAAAACCTGATAAGACTTGGATAGCTCTAGCATCCATATAGGTGTGACTCGCTGCCTACTGTACAAACATGCAAGTAGATACCGGACTTCACCTCTTCTAAATGTAATCTTCGGACTTACGTGAAGGTTTGTGAGATTGACTCAGCAATAATTAGTGGCAGCAAAGCTACCTTCGTGAAAATGTGACCGAAACTGGTTTCCTAATGATCAAAGAACTGCAGAATCCACTTCCATTTTATGGAAGTAATATTTATTACCGTGCAAATTAACTGCGTATGTTTCGAATAACACAACAGGGATAAGAAAAATATTTTCGCACTAAACAACAAAACGACTAACGGGAAAAATTTGGAAATGTATATAAACATGCACTTGATTTAGCTTTATTCTGTGAACTTACTCAAAATCATCGAGAAGATTTCCACTTTGAACCTTGACTTGATCAATGTAACGCTCAAATGTGTTGTCCGAACGCAAGACTAGTGGGGCAATAGATCAAAGAATGCAACTAACCTAATGTATATAGATGCGTTTTCTTATCAGAAAAGTATGAATCAAGCTCTGGAAGAACCCTTTTCGCATGCTTTTCCTCAAATACACCGGTATTAGGATTTTTGTATCGGAATATAAAGTGAAACTGAAAGTAATGATAAGAATTTCAAAGGCACTTTATTATCTAGTCCACATTTGTCAGGTCCAAACATAATTGTGTATGGAGTTTTGTCATTAAATTGTTTCTTTAAAAAGTTTTAGAAGAATAAAGTAAAGTTACCAGGTCCAAATTGGCAGAAGAACTCAATAGCTTAATATACGCACCACCACAGTCGATCCCATCTTGGAACTTCACATCATACTGAATCACAAGTTCCCCAGAGTCGAATTTCAACGGTCTAGATAGCTTTGTGGAGACAGCGTGGTGTTTGGCTTTTGACTTGAGAACTAGAGCATAATCTCCATCGATTGCGCTAGAACGAGGCACTTCAACAGACCAAATTCCATCATATTTGGCAATTGAGTCATCAATACCATCTTTACGAGCCTGAGAGACTACTAGTCTAAAAAGGAGTTAGTAGAAAGGTGTGATACTTTTGGCTTAGGTCTGAAGGTGAATTAAAGAACAGGGCAAGATAAGCACCACTTGGAATATTTGGAGTATTGAAGGAGGGCTAAAAGAATACTCACATGAAAAAGTACGCCTACCTTCTTCTTAACCGCATCGTCAGTAGCAGCATCCTGTGCTGTACATATCGAGAGAACAGACGACAAATATACCAACAAAAGCTTCAAAACCAACATGACACCAATTAGTTGAAATGTGATATGGCGCCTAACCCACTCTTGTTCGTGCTAAAGCGTCATTGGTCAGTTTAAAGAGGTTGGGTGATTAGAACAAACTGTCTTGATAAATTCGTGAAATGCTAAATTTATATATGATCTATGTTGCAACTCATTTGAAACATGTTTAAGAAGCTAGCTGGAGGAGAAAAAACACTTTTAAATAGGATCATGAAGAGGCTGGCGCCCAGTGGGAAAGTTGATAACTATGGTAGCGATAATGACACTATATCTGTTGAAATACAAATCGCTGCACGTAATTTTGAGAATCTCTAGCGACAAATCGAAATTTCTGTGCGCAGACTACTTACAAGGTTTATTGACGGCAACTTAGAAAACGCGAAACAACCGCATCCCCAGAAGTAGTAGACCTAGTCTGAAAACTACCGAACATAAGACTAGGTCAACTCTTGGTGAGAAGGACAAGGGAGGAGCACTTTTAATTCAACTAATGAACTACTCAGGCCGTCCATCCTACCCAGTCCTGCCACCCAATTAGTGACGACAGGGGCACACCAAAGGATGAAAATCCGTTCTGAGGCTGTCAGGGTCATGGTCGCTGAACTAGGCCCTAGTCAACCCTGCACACTTTATTCTGAGAAAAGGGAAGCAATTAGCACTAAACGGCACCAAGAATCCAGTGACAGTCATAGAGCCAACTGTTAACGCTCCACAGAGTAAAGATAAAGTGGAGCTTCTTGAGGGGTCTTAAATGCGCCACAAGGAGGAAGAAAGTGGAGACTCAGAACCGCGTAGCCCCTTCCAGAGTGGTCTTGGCAAGGCATAAAGCTTGGTGAACATACAGCGGGTCACTCTATTCAAGATATATACTTATACAGTAGGTAAAAAATAGACAGCCCCCTGCAGAAGACAGGTTTCGGCTGACTTAAGTTATGTATAAAACACCACGGGAGGTGGGTTACTTCCTGAAGAACGCTTACAGACTTCAAGGAACTTTAGCGTTCGTGCCCAAGGATTTGCCTCTTGATGATCGAGTCAAAAAAAGAAGAGGAAGAAGAAGAACAAATATTCGGACAAGCTACTGGAGAGAAAAATCTAAAAGTGGTGGGTTTCGTGTGATGTTTCGGCAGCACATGATGATGAGCCTAGTAATATAAGGAGCACCGAAAGTTCTGACATGATTGTTATCTGAGAAGCTCAAATATTTTCAGAGATTTGTGGCAGTAAGCCATACTTACTAGGGTTCCTTCCTCTTGGAAGTGATACGTTAACAGGCGGAGATGGCTGTGTTATCCTTTACGTTAGGAATACCTCAACCGTAGGAGATAAAGAGACGCTTTCACAGATACGTGGGACATGTTAAGTTCTGTACTACCAACTAAAGTGCAAGGGACAAGATGTTGCAGTGTACCGAAGCCCTGAAAGTGAAGCAGAACACTTTCTCCTGAATAAGCCGACCCTCCAGATATAAAACCGCTGATGCCTAGTTGTAAGAGACTTCAACAAACCATCGGCTGTCTGGAACAGACCAACAATGGAAGCGTCATGTAATAAATCCGATCATAGGTTAGTAGCAACACGAAGTTCCTGAGCTCTTGAACGGTATATTAGGGTAGCAACTCGATACGGTCATCAGGGTGCTCCATCAGTTCAAGACTTTATGTCACCCCGTCACCTTGTGTCCCTTGGTAAAAGCAATCATTTTCAGGTTCACAGTAGCCGTCTTGTGCCAGGCTGATGCCACGCTAGGCTCAGTGCGCTGAAAGCGAATGCGGGAGCTATTAACCTAGCAGCCTCTTCGGAAGACCAGACAGCCAATCTACAAGCTTCCATTGAGGCTGCATGGAGTTTCTTCTAACAATTATGAGCACGAGTAACTCAACTGTCCATTCCTTGAACTGACATGAGGGAACGAAAACACTATCCACCGCGTAAAAACCGCCGCTATCCGCCGGTTAGGAGTGTTTTAAAACATATCTTGCTTAGGCAGCACCGCAGCACCTAAAGTGGTTACTTTCTTATATGAACTATAGGAATAAGATGGATGGTGGCATACCCACCATTATCAAAGGGTATACGCCGACTGTTTAGTTGGAAACGATAAGGAAGAGGCAGAAGTTATGGCTGGATGTTCTTCTGAGGAATTTACACAAAGGCTTTCTTTGAGCACTAATTCAACAGCGGAAATACAGACACCCAACAGAATAGATTCTATGGGAATCGACTTCAATGATGTATTCAGGGCATAAAGTATCGTTAATGTGGAAAAGTCAAGGCTACTGGACAAGCTGCACCCAAGGCTGCCCAGACAGTTTGCACTCTATGTAGCTGACCCATTGGCTACTATACTTAGGCCGCTTCATGGTGAAGGCGAACTCCCCTATGGTTGGAGGGACGCCATAGTAGCACCCATCTACAAGGCAGGTACTAGACAGCGCCCATCAAAATACAGATTGCCAAGTTTGACCAGTACTTTGGTAAAAATCCCGAGAAGAAAGACCAAGAGAGCCGTTACAGTTCACCAACACGACAACACTCTGTTGTCTCGTTAGGAGCATGAGTTTCGCAGAGATTTCTCTTGCTTGGCGAATCTTCTCACAGCCAGTGAAAGTTAAGTCTAAGGACACCTGTAGATGTCATTTTCATGAACTTTTGTGGAACGTTCCACAAGGCACCTTGTCCCAGGTTGCTCAGGGAACTTGAAACTAACATAACCACCGGCAGTTTACTTGCCTGGATCAGGGGGATCCTCGTAGGTAGGAGACGAATAGTAAGGATCGATTCCTAATTCTCCCTCTGGAATTCGGCAGAGAGTGGAGTGTCACAAGGCACAATCCTACACCCCCCTGTTTCTCCCATGCATAGACGAGCTACCGAAAATCAGGAAGTCCCCCATTGTTCTCTGGGCTGTCGCTGTAGAATTTTGGCGGGAAGATATTCAAGCACCCTAGATGGGCCTAAACAGCTTGTTTACCTGGTCAAAGAAGTGGCTGACGCCCACCAACGCAAGTAAGCTTATTAGCATGCCCACTGTGCACACAGACGGCGACACCTGCAACACTGGTCGGACTCCTGTACCCTCAATTCCGACCCACAATGACCTGGGAACCGCAGAGAGATATAACATGAAAACCACGGCACAATGTCGATTGGTCGCGGCCTGGACTTTTAGGGCACCCTAGGAATTACGCGGAATGTTTGCAAAAATAAGTGTTGTAATGTTCACCATCATGTATACATCTCTAGTTATGTTTAAGCAAGAACATTTCACACAGACGGCAAACCCTTGTCTGATATATGGCTCAGACCTTCTGGGAAGGGTTTAGAGGGCGCTCACCCGTATGATCCCTGTGATGGCTGGCCCGGCCAGTGAAGATCGACCACAGGAGCTGAATCCGTTCTCCTTATCCTATCGCAGGCAGGAGGGAGTTCTAATCACGCTATGCAGAAGTTTAAGGAATAACTTTGGCCCTGACTCATATCCTTTTTTCCTACGGAGCCCGGCCAACCCCAGGGGACGCAACGTGAGAATACGAAACAGAAGGACAAAACTGGCCTTCTGGGAGACTCAACGAAGAAGCGGCGCACACCTCATCAACCAACACATTCGAAAGAGGTTTGTATAGGCGTAGGGATCTTCTAGACTAGTATTTATATGGGCTCAAGGCCTTCGATTCCCAGACAACAAACCGGAATGTTACACTTTGTTACCGGGACTGGGATAATTCACTGTATTCTTATTTTCATACTTTAAGTTACTTGGTTATGGGAAACTGACAGCGTTTGGGATCTAAAGTCTCATTTATGACACATTTTGTCGGCAGATTATGCCCACCTAATGAGCAAGGGGGTGTCTTCTGCACTCCTGCTTTCGGGTCCTGTGGAGTGTGTCTTATGCAGTTTTGTATCTGAAACTTGTATACTGAGCTGCTGGAAAGGTAAGGAATTTCATCGTGACCACTGTTTACATGGCTATTTGGAAGGAAATAGCAGAAGAGGGTGAATTATGTGTTGGAAATATTGCCGAAGAATAGAAAGTGGGTGGAAACAGCATAATTAGCAAAGTTGGGTTAGAAAACGATGTGAGTAAACCAAGACAGTAAACAATAGGCAAAAAGAAGTGAGCTTTGAAGTGAAGAAAGTCAGTGACAGCTTATTTAGTGGATAGATGGGGTGTTTTGTGCTTTAGGTACGTTCTGTCTAGCCGTAAGTTCTGGTCTAGCTGTCCAAACCGCATGAGAAAGATTTTATGGATTGGGCTATTCCGCGGTGATAGCACCCTCATGGCACATCCTTCAAAAGAGAAGTTTGATGTCAGCCTGATACTGACATTCCCGTTTACCATTCTGATCGTAATCCTTCATATCCACTTCCACAGTGCCAGTAAGGTCCATTTGTTCACACAACGTATAATAATAATATACTTCGAATAATGAATAACACGGACAAAGGCCATCCTACAGGCAATACCTGAGCGTTACAAATGAACACAAGCCCTCCAACAAAAGCGGAAGTCCTGAACGCCATAAGATTAGTGAAGCCGCGAAAGCAGCAGGACCAGATGGAATCCCACCAGAAGCACTAAGAACAGACTCGGAGACAACAGGGGACATGTTCACACCACTATTGCAGAAGGTTTGGAGGTAAGGAAGGAAGAGAAAGCACCTTCCAGTTGGGAGGAGGGCTGCATTGCCAAACTCCCGAAGAAGGGCAACCCAAGCCTTTGCGAGAAATGGCGTAGAATCATGTTGCTGTCCACCCCAGGCGAAATATTATGCCGCATCATTCTGGGGCGGCTAAAGGACACGCTGGATTCAAAATTACAACCGGAAGGAGTTGGATTCAGGAAATACAACCCATGTGCGGACCAAACTGCAACGCTACGCTACATGTCATCATACAACAGGGTATAGAACGGCAGTCAACTCTGTACCTCAAATTCATCGGTTTCGCAAAAGACTTTAACAGCGTTGACTGAGAAGTAATTTGGCAGCTGCTTCAACATCATGCTTTTAGTTTCGCAAACCTTTATCAAATTCATTCAACAGCCATATGGTGACGCCACATGCCAAGTGAT